ATCTCTTGTTTAGGGGATATGTATGTAGTCTCGAATAGCCCGCTCTGATTGGCTGGGATGCGATCCCGGTGGTCAAACCGGGTGGATCCGACTTCACTTCCTTTTTGTCCCTTTAGCTTCTTCTTCTGTCGTCATTTTTCTTTTTCCAATTGGCTCAATTCCCATGGAAGAAGTTTCCCTCTTGCTGGATGTCCAGATTCATGTTCTTCCTTTTTTTACAGGATCATCAAGCTCCATTGACCCCCACCCAACGGTACGTACGTTTCCGTGGCATATACTCTGAAACGGCAGTCAATACTACCTCATACAAAGTACATAATCGCCTTGTCGAGGTACATACATATGTATGCGAGGTCCTACCATGGGCAGGATGAGCCAATTATGTACGCTCTGTCCCACTGTACAGCAACACGATGTCGCTCTTACCTCTGGACTGGGCTGGAACTCGAAATACTGCAATATACAACATTGTATCCCCAATATCTACGTTTCAAAGAAGTGAAACATCCCATTGGAACATCTACGAATCATGATAGTAGGAGTGTGTATCCAGAGCTCCTCCTATTGCCTTCCTCTTACGGTTCCAAAGGCCGTTGGACCCAGGGCTCATTCGGCCCTTCCGAGGTATATGATACATAGGTACCTATGGTACCTGTTGTACCGTTGTGCCGTTGTACCGTTGTACAGGTTGCACGGAACACACTCATACATACATACCATTCGCCCTGGGCGGTTTTCTCGACTCTTTCGCCACACCCCTGAGAGTGGCAATTGTGTCTCTCACTTCGATTGGTTCCAGTCGAAGAGGCTCCTCGGGTGTGTAAGTCATTCCAATTTTTTTTTCACGCCCAACATAATATGCCCCAATCGCGACCATTGTACTGGCCCCGCCCAGATACCCATCACAGGATGCAAAAAGAAAAGAAAAAAGGAAGACACAAAAAAATAGAAAAAAAAAAGACGGCAACCTGCAGCTCAGGGATACGGCAACAGCTGCTCGAATGACATGATCCTCGTTCTGAAATTATTTTCAGAATAATGCCCAATCTCCTATTCGACCATATAGCCCAGTTCTATATTAGCGACTCTAAATGCTATATACAGTATACACTTCCCGAGCACATCCCGCTTTTTCTTTCTTATTTTCTTTTCTTTTTTATATCTTTTCTTTTTTTATACCTTGGAATATGTACTAAGCCATTGAGCCACAGCCTGCCAAGAAGAGTTGATTGGCTTCAATCCCCCCAGGGCCAGGATCAGGACCTCCCCCATCAACAAGATCCCTCTGCAACGTTAACTTTCTCTTATTTACCCTTAGCTTCCCTTGGGCATCTTTATTTTTCTGCCCTATATCTGACTCCCGGGGCGCTTTTTTTATTCTCGGGCCCTCGATTCTACACTATTTTAGCTCCCTTCACCAGCCTCCCTCGGCTCTTTTGTTCTCAATCCCATTTGGCCCAAAAACAGGTTCTGTCTAGACCATCGTCGAGTAACACAACGCCTCTTGAAACAAAACACTAGCCAAATTACTCGGTATGTGACCCTTCTTTTTAACGGGGATGGTCTCCTGTTCTCGCAATGTACCTGAATTCAGTACTCTTCCCTGGCATGCCTAGCACTTCTTCCCCCTCCTCTGGCATGTGTTGGCTGTCAGTTAGCCTTAAGCTTCCCCTGTCTCTGGTACCTAGCCCACTGTCCACCGTGGCTTATCTAGAATCCCTTTATATGTGTTTGTCCTACTTTGTTTTGTGAGCTTCGGCTTATGGCCTAACAGGAGGGGGGTCAGTCCGTGTTGACCGGTTTTCTTCCCCTTTCAATTTCTTACCATCACACACACATTCTATCCTTGATATTTTCTTCACAAAATCCGGAGAACTAACTTGCATGGCTTGGGCCTTTTCCTTCCCGGATTAGATCTTTGCACTTCCCCTCTTCTACGGTGTTCTGTTCTGTTCTGTTCTATTCTACCGGACTCTTAGGGAAGTCTTACTTGCGTCGGTGGGATTTCTATAAGAATTCCTACACCGCGGTGACATCCGGGCTACGTGACTTAGGTAAGGAAAAGGTCTCGAGTAAGATGTGTCCATTCCCTACAGACACTAAAGACCCAGTAGTTTTCAGAAGGTTACAATTGAAAGTTTCATCAACGGCCCCATGGGCAATGTTCCTTCAGACAAGACAGCTGACGAGACAGCCCCGATATCAGAACAGGGTTAGCCCTTCCTTTTCAAATGCCGTCCAAGCTTTGCCTGACTAAATCTCTTCTCAGGTGCATCTCCTACTTCAGCGCCACGTCCCAATGTCACACATCATTCCAGCTTCGCAGAAGCTCGGTATGGAACCGCCCCCTCTCCCTTAAATATGGTCATGGGATACAACTTCCCAGGCCATCATCCACAAGGCTATAATCCGCAGTCAATGCATCAGTACACAGCCCACGGGCAAGGCATGATGTACCCCATGCCAATGACTCCGTATGGACACAACTCCGGAGGCATGCCGTATGGCATGTCTTACCCTGCTTATCCGCCGTATGCCATCCCTCAACACCCTGGCCCTCAACCTCAACATCATTACCCGCCTCATGGAACCCAAATGCAAAACATGCCAAACCTCAATCCCGGGCAAGTATCTCCGTATAGCTCGGGCTATTACCCTCATTCATCATACGGCCCTTATGGACATGGAGTGCCTGCCGGCCAAATGCCTCAGGCTATATCTCCAGTACGTACTAACACCAGTTCACCCTCGAAACCGGTCACCTTGCGCAAAGAAGCCGATAAACGAATGACGGATCTGGAGTACGACGTTTCAAAGACCATCGTGGATGGATCGAACCCCAAAAAAATAGCGCAGTCCCAACCACAACCGCCGTTCTCCAGTGAGCTCTTGTCGAATCCCCTCACTTTGCAACTGTTACTAACCTGCATTCATCTAAAGACAATACTCCCCCTTCGCAACCACTCCCGACCGCTCCGAGTACCCCACGAGGACCACCCCGAAAGCCCAAGCAATCTGGCCACGCGCTGTGGGTTGGAAATCTTCCTCCCGGAGCCAGTGTCATTGATCTCAAAGATCACTTCTCGCAAGATGCAAAAAACGACATTGAGAGCGTGTTCCTGATCTCCAAGAGTAATTGTGCGTTTGTGAATTACAAGTCGGCTGCCGCCTGCGTTGCAGCTTTGGCGAGATTTCACGACTCCCGATTTCAGGGCGTCCGCGTTGTCTGCCGACTGCGAAAGGGGCTCACTGCTCCGGGCTCCGGGTCTGCAGCTCCGAATAATGCTCTCCGACCACGTCCGGAGGATAATGCTACGGCTACGACTACGATTACGACAGCTACGACTACTGCTACGACTACTGCTACGGACCCGGGCGAGGACCATTCAATCACACCGGAGCCCGGTTCCGCAGCGCCTGCTACGGGGAACCATCCTCCCCCGGCCCGGCTGGTAGATCGGTACTTTATTGTTAAGAGCTTGACAGTGGAGGATCTCGAGTTGAGCAAGCAAAGTGGCATTTGGGCTACACAGTCGCACAACGAGGCGGCAATGAATCAGGCTTTCGAGGTGAGTCCAAAGCTATGTAGCCCAGCAATGACCGAAACTGACCTTTACCCAGAACACAGATTACGTTTATTTAATTTTCTCCGCCAACAAATCTGGCGAATATTTTGGATACGCCCGTATGATGTCGCCGATCAGCGACGACGAAGAACTGGCCTTGGAGATGCCATCTCGGCCCGATCCCCCGCCCGGCGGGCCCGACGAACTTGACGTGACCCTGACAGCGGCAACTTCGACAGCGCCCCAAGGACGAATCATCGATGATTCAGTGCGGGGTACTATCTTCTGGGAGGTCGAGTCATCGGAAGATGAGAACGACAATGCGAGCGAGAAAAGCGTCGAGCCCGAGGATCCAGAAGAGGGTCAAACCTTTGGCAAACCGTTCCGCATTCAATGGATTTCGACAGAGCGAGTACCTTTCCAGCGCACTCGAGGCCTTCGTAACCCTTGGAATGCGAATCGGGAAATCAAAATCGCTCGTGACGGTACCGAAATTGAGCCAACGATCGGGCGTAAGCTGATTCAGTTGTTTCATTTGCCTTGAGTTCCTGATTTCTTATCATGTGGATGATCTCCTCTGTCTTTAGTTCCTGCGGTTATCAAGAGCTTCTTTGATGGTCTATGATTTATGATAGCAGATGTCGACAGAGGGGATTCATTCTGGAATAGGAATCAGAGACGTATGCCACTTTATGGGAAACAAGCAATACACGATGTACGTCCATATTTACTTTCTTGAGCTACGAATACGAATGCTCTCCCTTATTTCTGCAGGGATTAGCATTTGTCATTCTGCACGATAACCCAATTGTAGACGTTATATAGGTAATAGGTACATGAAGTACCAATATATATAGTCTTGTACTCATCTTCAGATGGCCATAGCAATTGAAGCAGTTGAACAATCAATCCAAACCAATCGACTAACTAATACCCTAACTAATAACCTAACCAATACCCTAACCAATACCTAACTGATACCTAACTGTTACCTAACTGATACCTAACTGATAAAATAACTGATAGAATAACCTCATGTCATGAAATAGAAACTGCTGAGTCAGCCATCGACATCACCACTCCACTTAGCGCCACTTTCCCCAGATAATGTGATGCTTAGCTCTCTCTACTCGGTGAACCTCGATATTTCCCCCTTCTCGCTTTCTCGTCTTCTTTTTTTCTCAACTTATTCTCCAGATACTTCTCCCTTCTTTTATTTTATTTGTTCGAGTTCTGGTATCAATCTTTCAATCTTGTCTTGTCCTCAAATCAACACCCCCCACCATCGTTCCACATCGTTCCACCCTCCCCACCCTTCCAAGTGCTGAGATCATTCTCGTCACTTTGATCTCTATTGTCAAATCCTCTATTATATGAGAAGGGCGGCTAGTCCGTCTATATTCCTGCTCTCGGTTCAACCCCCTTCTTTTGACAATGTCCAACGATCCAACCTCCCCCATCTCGGTCCCCCATGCGGAGAACCGTCGACGTCGTGGGTCCATCGCCGACATATTCTCCAAGCCGAGCAACCCATCCAAAACCCAGGTTCCAAGTCAGCAATCCAACCAGCGTCGGCTGTCAATCAACACGCTGGGCCTCTCTGGTTCTCCCACCCAGGCGTCCGCCTTCGGTGGCAATCGCAACTTCCGTCGAGGCAGCCTATCTAGCTCAATGGGCTCCAACGGTCCAGTCGAAGATGCTGTCGACGACGAGCAAATAACAGGAACCTCACCCAACTCGCAGTTCGGGAGACGCGTCTCCTTTGGTGCACAAGCTCTGCGTGATTCTCGTGCAGGGAGCATAGGAAATGGTAGAAACTACCCCCCTCCGTCTGCCGTAGGCCCGCGCCGTTCCCCTCCGGCCGGCTCGGCCATCGTTACCACCCGATCTTCCGCAAGTACTCCAACCTCGCCTCCGGATGAGAGATCTAACGTATCACGCCGACCCTTAGGCGAAGGCTTTAACTGGTCAGAGGCCCTCCGCTCTCGTGCTGGGCGTGCCCCTTCCTTCGGCGGCCCCGTCTCCCCACATCGTTCCAATGGTAACCACCAGCGTGCCGCTTCCATCGCATCTATGGAGCAGCCTAGCCGGGAAATTCCCCGTCAGCCTAAGCAGAATAAGCCGGATTTCTTCCAGGAGAAGATCTTGAGGGGTGACTTTATGGATTAGAGATTGGTTCTCGTCACTTTTCAAGGGAAGTATATCTCGATCGGTGCTGCTGGGCCTCCTCTGGCTTCTTTTTACTTTTTCTGCATTTGACGTCGAAAGTCTCAACAGACTTGTATCAATTCTAGGGTCTCCATCCTCTCGATGTGTCTTCCCAACCCTTTTCTTTGAAAATAGGTGGAATATGTATAAAAAAAAAATTGATTCATGGAGCGTCATCAACTTTTGAGTCTTTTTTTTTCAGCTCTGGGATCAGCGTTTCATATATTTGAGCCTATTTCATACCCATCCCATCCAGGTGATGCGGATGACTTTATTCTTATGACTACCAAATTGACACCCATTGGTCACTCATTATCGGACTACATTTTGAAGTACTCTACATCTCCTGTTTTCAGTATATACACTGAAAGTATGTTCATTGCCCCTTCGGTCCATATACAGCCCGCCACAGCCCACCACTTCAACTCTTCGTGTCACCCCAAGGTCACCCAAGGCCAACTCTCAAGAGAAATGCGAAGGTCCAGCCCCAGCATCATTCGCAGTCTCAGCATGTGAATGTCCAGGCACCTCCTCTTCCTTGTTAAATTTCTTCGCAACCTTCCGATCCATAAGCTGATCGGTCGTGAGCTGATTCTCCGGCTCCGGGGGCTTCCACTTGCTGCTCTTCCACGGCGGCACGCGCATAACATACATCATGTCCATCTCCTCAAGCGTCTTATCCTTGCCCTCGATAACAAAGAAGTAAACAATAATCACCGCGAAGAACAAGCACCCAGCAAACACATACCCATATGCAAAGTCAATATCGCCAGTGATAAACGGCGTGAAGAATCCAATCAGGAAATTCCATAACCAGTTCGACGCAGTTGCCAACGCCATAGCCCGCGCCCGATACCGCGATGGATACAGCTCGGCCACAATCGCCCATACCATCGGGCCCCATGTCATGGCAAACCCGGTGATGAACAGACACGCAAATACAACCATTGCTTTGCCCGCTCCGGGCGTGTTCCGCGGTGTCTGAACGTCAAGCGAGAAGTGGCCTACAGACGCAAACACCATAAAGCAGATGAACATCCAGATCCCGCCTGCGATCAGAGACTTGCGTCGTCCGAAGTGCTCGATCACGTATAGTCCGCCGAATGTGGTGCCGAAGTTCACCCCGCCTAGGATCATCTGCGTCACGAATGTGTTGTCTATCCCTGCCCCGTTGAAGATCACCGTTCCCTATATATATTAGCAAAGTGCGGGTGTCTATGTCGAAATAAAACACTCACATAATAGAAGAAGTAGTTAGCACCGGTCAGCTGCTGCAGAGCTTGAAGCACTACACCAAGTACGATGCGGTACGTCATGCGCGGCGCCTGGAACATCTCAAGCCAACCGCGGATCCCGTCTTGCGCCCCCTCCTCGGCATCCAGCTGTTCCTGGATCTCGGCAATCTCATGCACGATCACCCGGTGATTCTCGGGTATACCGTACAGCTTCGACATGGTGCGCCGGGCGCGGTCTATACGGCCATTCCGGTAGTCGAAGCGGGGACTCTCCGGGAAGAGGAGGATACCTATTCCAAGGACGAGAGCCCACAGGAATGTGATACCAAGTGGGATTCGCCACGATGCGGTGCTGTCCATAGTTTCTGTGCCAAAGTTGATGCAATATGCGACAAAGATGCCCAATGTTACAAATAATTGGTAGGAGCTGGGTTGTATTAGGGTTATGGTCAGTATCTTGCAATGTTGAGTATTGGATTGTTACTTACCACACCATCGCTCCTCGGATGTGTCGTGGTGCAATCTCACCCTGGTACATAGGAACCAGCAGTGAACAGGCTCCCACACCGAACCCAGTTATGAATCGTCCCATCATGAACTGGTACCATTTTCCTGTTGGCGAGGAGATCTGGATTATCAGTCCGACATGGAGGATGATGCACCAGAAGAAGATGGACCATTTTCGACCAATTCGATCGGTAAGTGGTCCGGCGAGGAGAGCTCCTATCAATGTACCGATGGAGAGCTGGAAAGCGTTAGCTTTTGCCACATTCACGCATCTTCCGACTTCGCCTTTCAAAGACTCACCAGGGAAACAATCAACCCAGACCGAACATTGTTAAACTTATACGTCCCGTCGGGCTTCAGCTGCGCAAATCTCTGCTTGAAGTTATTCATCTCCAAAAAGCCTGAGATTTGGCCAGTATCATATCCGAAAATGACACCACCAATGGAGACAAATGCGCCTAGCAACACAGATCTCCAAGTCACCCATGGCACACGCGACTCGTCCATGTTGCTGCCTCTCTTTTCGCGATCCGCTATCGCTGACTCTCCCGACAGGTCCGTCAATGGCGGGGACTTGGTCCCTGTCCCTCCACCGCTGAGCTTATTGAGGAATGAGATTCTCATCCTTGAGATGGGAGATGGTGGTTATTATATACAGTAAGAATATGTAATTTCCATGTATCCAGGTTCGATGTTGGGACTGCACTCAAGGATTCTTGCACATTATAAAGGTCTGATCTAAGTCCAGTGCCTTCGCATCGTCATCTTGCCACTTCCGGCACCACGATGTGTAGATCCTCGTGCCTTGAATGTGCCACCCTGAAGTCTGTTATATATGAGGTATCTCTATCATTGCTGAGGTAACTGTATATGCCGAATTTACAGTGCATTTTCATTAGTATATCTTCTATCCTATTTCCTGCGGATTATCTCTGATATCAGGGGTGTTATGGATGGCCCGATCAGTACGCCGTGGCGCCGGCGAAGTCGTGACGTCAACCATACACTTCGGGCAAAGTGACAGAACATGATGAATGCATTATATATTTATGGAGAAAATGTCTTGTGTAAGTGTAAAACAACATCTACATAGTCTTAGTAAGGAATACCGTTGGTCATCAGTTGGAACTGATCATAACCCTTAGTCGACACGCTCATATACGACTTGCGCACAAGTTCTCGCATGTACTCGGCTGCATCGCGCTCGCTCTTCTCCAACACGAACCGGTCACGGAAATTCTTCAGAGTCTCGGGCTTGAAGCACGGAAGTCCACTGTCAAGCATGAGGGAGACAATGTTGCCCAGTTTGGTGCTGTAAGGGCGAGATGCAAGGTATGCCTTCACTACTAACGACTCGAACCATCGGTATGGCTGCGTGTTGGTTGGGTTGTGGGAGCTGCCTGGCAGGTTAATGCCCGAGTTACCACCCTGGTGGTGAGCTGGGTCATGGGTTCCACTCATGACGGCGACCATCTCCGAGGTCAACTTGAACGGCGCGCGCTCGAATCGCACGCCACCAGGCGCGATATCGAAGCAGAATCCAAAGTCAATGTGGATGATATGGCCGGCGTCATCAATCATAATGTTTCCGTTATGTCGGTCCTTGAATTGCAGCAGGTAAGAGATGACTGAGTAGGCGGCCATACTCTTGACGAAGTTGGTGCGCGCTTCTTGGAATCGGATAGAGTCCTCGCCTCCATATTTCGACACGAAGTAGTCATAGAGCCCGTTGACGGCCTCGCGGCCGAGCATGTCGCGAGAAATGGAGTTGGGAAGCACATCAATCACACCACAGCCAGGCGCTGTCGAAGTCACCCGGTAAGGGTAGACCCAAACGTCTAGACCAACACTGGTGAAGATGCTCCTGAAGGCCGCAATCATTTGCAGGGCAAGCATGTCCTGGCGACAATCGTCACCGACTTTGAAGATGGCTGACTGCCACACTTCATATGTCTCCTGCTCAGGCTCGGAATGATTCGTCAATTGGCGCTGGTGGTGATGGTCACCAGCGTTGGCCTCGGCCTTTTGAATCAATCGTGATCTCGTCTTCTGGATGCGGAACGTCGCCATATAAGGTGCTTTTGCGTGACTTTGCAAGGGTTTGCCAGACTTGCGGTCAATACCAATGACTACACCGTCAGGGTTGCTAGGAAGGTACACTCCAACTTCCACCTTGATCTTACGCAACTCTTCCTCGATCTTTTCCTTTTTCTCAGGCTTACTCCTCTTGATATAAGGGCGAAGTTTGCCGGAGACGTCCGTAACTTCGTTGAAGAACGAAAATTCTCTCTCATAGAACGCACGCTCTTCGCCCGAGAAGCTTGAGATCAAGTTATCTAGGAAACGGTCGAGTGTTCCTTTGATAGGGTCCGGCTTGAAACAGGATGTTAGCTAACGGTGACCAAGTTGACAATCCCAATACTTACAATCTGAGAATCCTCGTCCTTATAGGAATTGGCCTTCATGTTCCAAATAACTTGGTGGGCAAACAGCTGAGACAACTTGGCTGTTTCGAGGATATAGCGGTCCACATAACCCAGAGCATCGTAGCGCAGGGCCTGAATAAGTTGTGGCACAAAGTAGAACCGAACATCCATCGAATAGCTTTCCAGCGCCCGCATGGCATACTGCAATATATAAGGATGGTTGCCGTAAGCGGGCATGAAGTATGTGATCGCCTCCGTAGGAGTAACAGGAGCCCAGTATAGCATGTATTTCAACTGAGAACCGACATCAGCAGGCAGACAGTTGTCAAACATAAGCTCCAGAGCGCTTGGCTCCTCAATGACCTTCTCGGGGAAATTGAGTATCAGCGACCTAACATCAGCCTGCATTTTGGGTGACGGGAACCGGGCAGCCATCTGAATAGCTAACCCTGCATTTTCCGCCCAGGCAAGCCGAAGTAAAGATACGGGGCCGTCATCGAGATTTTTGCCACCAATCGAAGGCATATGGTGCTTTCGTTCCGGTTCCAGGGGGAAGAGCCAAACTCGAAGGCGTGATCGTTCATTCTCCACGAGGATTTGAAGCAGGTCTTGTTTGGCTTGCAAAGATTTGCATGACCCTTGCGCATTGGCAGCGATACCTGCCACAGCTCGTAAAGCCGCAGTCACCTCGCTGAGAATTTTGTCCTCTGCCTTAATCTGCAGCCGATTGCCTCCGAATGACCACCTTGGAGGGTGCCTAAACCAACTCAAAGCAGCAGACAGAATCCGATCC